AGCCTTGTGTGATATGGATGTGCTTTGGATTAACGCATGCTAGGCGGACGCCCGAAAAGACTAAGGGCCACAATGGTATCGTGAATGAAACGCGTGGGCTAGACAAAGGGAACGATAGAGGCTAGAGGGAGAGCGGTGCGGCCTCGCCTCGATGATGTCGTAGGCCATTAGGGACGTTAGGAAAAAGGTGCGTGGCCTAAGGATAACGCTTAGCCTACGTGCGTAAAGAAGGGAGATTCCCAATGAACCCCCTGGACTACCCGAGTATTGGAAGGAGCAATTGTCTGCGAACACAACGGGGACTCGAGAATCTACACTTGCGACAATCGACCAGTGAGGCTACCACCCAATGCAAGGGTTGAGCTACATCCCCAATGTCAAGCTCTCTCGCCCTATTGGCCCATCCCCATCCATACCAAAGCACTAGGTGGGGGTGGCCCCAGAACGAATGACCCGCGCCCTGAGCTTGAGTGTGGGCGGGTCAAGCCAAATGGGACCCGCAGTTGGGTCGACGAAGGCTCGAAAGTCTACCGGGGTTCGGCCCGACACCGTCCATACATGGACTGAAACACAACTGATTTATGAGTTTTGCCCATACACTGAATGCCCCGTTGAGTTTCCCGCTTGCTACTAAGTTTGTATGTGCCCGCTTGCTGGACTGCATGTCTGTCTGAGTGCTGGATGGCTTGAATGTGTGTGTGACCATGCCTGTCTGAGTGTTGGTTGGCTTGGGTGTGTGTGTGACCGTGCCTTTCTGAGTGTTGGTTGGTATGAGTATGTGTGTGGCCCGTCTGGGCACTTGCTCGTTCGTTGGGCCCTCAGGGCCGGTACTTACCTGTGGTCGTGACACTGAGGGGTTGCAGCGGGGAAAAACACTCTAGTGGGTAGGACGGTACCGCACCTGGAAGGGGTAGATGTGCAGATACCGGAGGCCGAGCAGAAGAAGACAAAAGTGGCATTTTTAGAGGCCAAATAGTTCTAGGTTAGGTCTAGGCGGATATCAGTCCAACCAGTCTGGGTCTAGGGCCTGTACGGGCAATATCAGAGTCCGCAATGATGTTTCCCTCCGAAAGAGAGGAGGAACCGGCTGCTTGGGAGGCCGAGCGGCCTGGAAGTCCCCACCCAAGAGGCAAAGCAGACCGCTATATCTTCTGGTCGGGCGGAGAGTCCGGCCTCTTTTTCGGTGTGCAAGTTTGGCGACACACTGGTGGAGTGCTGGCTGGAGCAGCGCAGCTGGGGAGGAAGGAGAAGGACACGAGCTAGGGGTACTTAGCTGGCTATGGTGGCAGCCATCTTCATCACCTTGGTGGGCGCTGCAGCAAGGAGTCCCCAACCGGGGAGAGCCACACCAAGAAGCTTCAAGGCAGGGCAGGCATGGCGGCCTGAGCTAGAGCAGCCATAGCTGCTTTGGGTTGTCCTTTGGTCATCTGGGCAAGGCCTAGTAGTCCGCCATAGCCTCGACCTATGAGAGTGAAGAATGGGGAGGCGGTCATGGCTATGGTGGACCTCAAGTGATACCTGCAGTAGAAGAGGGACTCGGACATTGATTCTGGATCAGTCATTCAACATTGTATTATTATTTATGTATGAATAAGAGAAGGCAGAGATAAGGGGGAGGAGATTGTTGGGCGAAGAAGAAGAGTCTTGTCATTGTCTCTGTTGGTGTACATCTTCTTCTTTCTTACCTCTTCTTCTTCTTCTAATCCTCTCTCTCTCCTCTCAAGTTTATTTATTTATTTCTGCAATTGGATGGCATTGTACTTTCCGGTGGATGTGTATCTCGAAATTGGCCAGGGTCATAACAGACATATGCGCATGACCCTATCTATAGTGACCTCCTCAAGAAGGTTAAGGAAACCCCAAAGACTGAACCAGATTACCGCACTATAGAGGGATTACTTTTCGAGAAGACCAATGTAGTAGACCGTCTGTGCGTTCTTAATAATGAGGAGATCCGTAGTTTGATCCTAGGGGAATGCCACGACACAGAGGGTCATTTCCGTTTCTGATGCATGTGTATAGGATGAAAGCCGACTGCATAGAGTACGTTCGCAGTTGCAAAGTCTGTCAAAGGAATAAGACAACTACGCGTGCCCCTCTAGGTGTTCTTCGACTGACCAGCCTGGAGATTTGGTATCCATTGATTTCATGGATGCTAGTGTCAAAAGTCGGCATGGAAAAAGCCAAGTCATGGTAATAGTGGATAGATTTAGCAAGTATGTTGTTTTTGTTCCCTTACCCACAGAAGCCCGTACAGAGTTAGTAATTCAGAAGTTTTTTGACTTTTGGGTTAGTGATCATGGAATCCCATTGTCCATAGTTAGTGATAGGGACACCCAGTTTACAAGTCAGAACTGACAGGAGTTAATGAGAGTATACGGGTCAAAGTTGTTAATGTCGTTTGACCGTCATCCAGAGACTAACGATCAGACCGAGCAGATGAATTAGATCCTGCAACAAGTTTTGTGCATGTATATTAGACCAGATCAAATTAACTAGAATGAAATGTTGCCCAAGGTAGCCAGTGCATATAACGACAGCGTGCACCGAGTGACTTGCCGTACTCCCAATAAGCTGCATAAGTCCTTTAGGCCGCGCAGACCGTTTGAAGGACTTAACCGAGACCAGATTCATAGGCTACTGCCCGGTACTGGGGAGTTTGCGATACAGCACGAGGAGTTAGCTACCATTGTTGAGGACCTCATGAAGGCCCAACATAGAATGATAGAATAGGCTAACAAGCACCGTCGCCCGTCACAGTTTCAAGTAGGCGACCTAATCTGGGTCAAGTCCAAGTTTGCTCCTGAGGAAAACATTTCGCAGAAGTTACTGCCAGCATTCAAAGGACCGTGGCCAGTTCTAGAAGTTCAGGGTGGAGAGGATGGACCATCCTACGAGATAAAGATCCCAGCACACCTCCACACGTACCCTGTGTCTCATGCGTCAAAGTTGCTCCCGTGTGTCACAAGTCAACAGTTTCCATCGAGAAGATCCACGATCCCTCCGGACATGGATGGAAGGTATGACATTGAGGGCATTGTAGATGAAGAAATGTTTAGAACAAGAGGTAGAGGTCGTCCACAGAAACAGTATAAGGTTCGATTTGCGTATCAGGAACCAGAGGACGACCGCTGGTTTACCAGAACTGAACTTCTAGAAACAGCTCCCGGCATAGTCCGAGCCTACGAAAGAGATAAGAAGGGCAAAGGTCCTGCCTTGGACTGACATATTCTCGGAGGACCTCGAATTTAGGCCGGCGGGAGTAAAACGGTTCTCACCTTCGCAGTAGCAGATGCAGATCCCAAGGCTCGATCCCTAGACTCCGCTCACCTGTGTACAGTACCCCGTGTGTTTGAACCCATAACCTGTGTCTTAGGCGTAATTTGTTGTCTGTCGCAGGCCAGTGTAGCCATCGGGTCTTGAACCGTAGGTCTGTCGCATAGGGGTCAAGTCTGTAGTAGAGGTCGTAGCTGTGGTAGTTCTGAAAGGTCAAGGTCGTAGCTGCTACAGTCCTGAACGGTCAGGGTCGTAGCTGCTACAAATCCGGAAGGCCAAGTCTACGGACTTCCGGAAGGTCTGGAAGTGGCCATTCGAGAATTCTTACATTTGGCCAGAGGAAAGTGGGCAAGTGGTGAGTCCACCCATGTTGATTCAGCGGTACCCAGTCCCAGTCTCACTTGGTCCAGTTAGCAAGTACCTTGTGGGACTGTGTGCACCACGGACACGGTGGAAAGAGGCGGACCCGGCTTCCAGAAGTCAAGAGGCAGCGTCCGACCATTCATTCATTGCTGCGTAAGCCATGCGGAAGCGTTGCCACAGCGTCTTGTGCGAGGTGGTCTGCAGTCGCCCGAAGTGGAAGTGGGCCGTGAGGAAGACCGTGTGCCATAGTTAGTAGTAGCTGGCTGCCACGGCGGCCATAGCTGGTGTTAGTGGAGTGTGTGTGAGTGTGTGCGTGTGTGGGATATCCAGGGTGATCCAGAGTTGAGTGCGTGCGAACAGTGGTGCTGAACAGAGACGAGAGTTGGGATGTACAGGCGCTGATGCGCCATAGCCTGTTGAAGTGAGATTGTATCTGAACTGTGTTTTCGACTTTCATATCTTCGAGCTTTGAGTGGGCGCTGTGCGCCAGTGTGATTCACCATCTGTTTGCATGAGTGCGAAGTGGAAATGAAAGTGAGTCTGATTGCAAGCCAAGTGGAAAGGCATCGGTTTTTGATACCGACATGCAAATGTTTGAATCCTTTTACTCCAGCGATTAATTCCAATTCAGTTTTTGTTTTGAAAGCTGACGTATTGCCGCTTTCACTCATGCCGATTACCACTTCAAGAGTATAACCCTGCTGGAGCTCTCCCTGCTGAGCACAAGGTAAGTATCCGCCAACTCTTCCCTTCTCCACTATTTCCTCTTTTTCAAGGATTCTTCAAGTTTAGCACCAGCTTATTCCTCTTTGGCACCACACAGCTATGGTGTCCACTTTCTTCTTTAGCCCCCACCCTTCTATGGGGCTGGCCTTGTTCTTGGTGGCCAAGCTGCCATGGTGCTGGCCTTGGTCTTCTCTCACAGCCCAGTCCTCGCTGGTGCTACCTGTCGGCTGAAGCCACTCCTTCGTCCCGCTAGCACAGTTCACTACAAGTGCTAGCAGTTCTGTTCGTCAAACTCCATCTGAGCAAGACACCATTGACTTTCTGTGACCTTCCTGAAGTACTTCGGTTGGTCTTGTTTTCAGCCAGTGGGCGCCGCCTTCCGAAAGATTTCCGGTTTGGCTGGGCCCAATCCCTGGACTGACTAGATCTTACCCTAGGCCGCATGCTGCCATGGCCTACCAGTCCTCTCCTGTCTACGGGGAGGACCAATAGCCCTCAAAAAACATGATCACTCTCCTGTCGACGGGGAGGACCAATAGCCCTCGAAAACATGTAACCAAATCAGACAAATACAATAACGTTAGGAGTTAGGAACGAGAAGGTCATAGGTCCCAGAGCAGTTCAAGGTCATATCCCGTTTCTGGCAAGCTGCAATCAGAGGCTGATCAGTTCAAGTCCAATTGCCTCAAAGCAACTATGTATGCCCTTTCTAACCAGATTGATGTGCAGGGTTGTCTGGACTCATCCTGCCGAATCCGGACCAGACCCACATGACCCAGCAATCTAGAAAATATTGAAATAACCAAAACACTGTGGAGCCCAAGTGGAGGCTAACGTCTTCCCTCTAACACAACACACACCGCTTATGAATGTATACAAGCTATCTTGGCTAAAAGGGTGAAATGCACACCGGAATAAGAACAGGAAGAGCACAGAGAGATGGGGTGGTGTTTCAAACGTTGCCAATTGTGGCAACTGGTGAGACAAGTATGAAGACAAAAGGCAGATGCTGGCATCTGATGAAGGTGGACCACACCGGCTTGAGTTTTCACTGCGAAGATGTCATCAACAATTCTCTCCCTTTCTCGAAAGGCCAAACATCAACGTTGCTTCTAAACTTATTATGTACATCAGCATATTTACATTGATACAAAAACAAACAAGTATGAAACTGTCACAAGATGGTCATCGTTGACAAGAAAAGGAATGGGAACTCAACACCTGGCAAATCATCATCACTCTCTTCAACTCCGACGGCCGTCAGCCTTTGACTTCTGAATTGCTGCAATTGTGATAGCGACTTTGTACATGAAGAAGCCACATCCTGCGCCAAGGAGCTGCGAAGGGACCAGGATGGAATCCTCAGATCCTACCTCGCCAACGACTCGTAAAAGCAAGATGAATGCGCTTACGACGAGTGTCAGACGAACTCCAGGTGTTTTGGGGACCAGGCGCCATCCACTTTTGGCATCTCTTCTTCCTTCTGGCTCAACCACACTTCCCTTGGTATCTTTTCTCTTTTTTGGCTCAACTGCACCCGTTGAGAAGGGCATCACCTTCAGAATACTGACCCAAACATCTTCAAGTCCCCGCAAACTCATTACCTCCTCTTTTCCCCTCACAGCATCAAGTCTTCCTGCTTCAGACTTTTTATCAACACCTGCTTCAATCATTTGATCAAAAACTCCAAGTGCTTCTGTGTGCATTTCTGTAGCCAATCTGCTCTCTCTGGGGACCTGGGTGTCTTCATTTTCATCAACTCCCAACAGATTTGACTTGACTGTCGTCCCTAGGACATATTCAGCCTCTCGCTCTCTCGTTCCGCCCCCGGAGTTCCGCAGCAAGTTTGTGGGCAAGGTTGGCATGCCACTCCTTGCCAGAAGCTGTCCTCCCGACACTGCTGATGAGTTGCCATTATGTCCATCGCCATCTTCCCCGCTTGTCATCTTATACCCTAGAGTATCAATTTGTCCACCTGGCATGATGGGCGTCCCGCCAGCAATTGAGTCCACGGACCACTGAAGCAGCAGCAAATACAGCAAGCCTACACCACCTCCTGCAGCAAATGCCTCCCCAACCGCTGCACCATAAATTACCCAGCTAAGCAGACTCCCCCCCACAACTAGACCTGTTGTGGCCTGCAACAAGCATAGCTTCAGCCTCTCATACTCGGCTATTCCAAGAGCTCGTGCAGCTTCCACCTTATCTGGTCCTTGCTTTCCCAACAATTTCACCCTCTGCGAGCCACCAACCAAATCCTCCCAACCGTAATCACCCGAACTAGCCCATCGGGTCACTGCAAATGGCCGGATTTCCAATGCCCCAAGATTCCCACCATCGCCAATGAGGTCACCATTGGTTTGGAAACAGTACTGGAACCCCGAAAGAGGAGCACCATGACACAGATCCTCCAGACTCAGTGGATCTTCACCTGTTGCTCTCCCTTTTCCCTCATTGCTCTTGTGCCTACCGCCCTCCCCATCTCTGTATCCATTCGTTCCATGATGCTGTTCTTGCGCTTCAAGCGTCTTGCAAGTACCTTCCCTGCAATCATCCTTGGGCATGGCAGTGGGATACATCATATCCCTCTCTGGAGGACCTCGTCGCTGAGACCTGAAAGGCAAATCTTCAGTCTCTCTGGGTTCAGCTTTGCCCACAGAGTTACTCTGTAGCAGGTGGGATTCCATCATGGCCCCACTTGAGCTACTTGCGACTTCCTCAGCCACAGCTATGCCATCAAGCCGCAGAGCTGTCACAGTCGCATTTTCAAGCCTCCACGTACCTGCACTTGCCATAGTCATTAAAATTTTGGCCTCTCAGTGCCATTTAATTTTGTTTTCTGCGATCTGTGCCAAACCTTAAATTTAAAACCCCAAATCCAGCTTGGTGAATCTGTAAAATAAGCTGTTGTAAAAGAATTGGGAAAACAAGAACAGAAAAGCTACTAAGACAGGATTTCAAATTCAACCGCAATTCAAACCAGAAAAAGCTTCAGGGAAAGGAAAGGTGAAAAGGGGAGGACAAGAGAGACAAACGAACGAACGATCCTTGGTGCCTGTTCCAGAGTGTAAGAACCTTTCCCATATTTTATTTTCCCATATTTATCTCTGAGGAAATCACGTAGTTAAGATGATTCATCTTTTTCAACTTTTTGTTCTTTTCATGCAGAAATGATGGAAGAGAAAAGGCAGGGACACCCTTGACATTAGAATGTGGACATTGCTAAACACAAGGATTGGATCATTGGAGTTTGAACTCATGACTTGACAATCAACAGTTACAGGGGTCAACTAGCCACATGCATGAACATGGTGATCTGGGGCACATGTTGACAGTCTGTGCACAAGGCTCGGATAATTCAATCTCCTAGCAGGAAAGGAATCATAATTTGTAACTCAAACGTATTGGATAAGCACAAAAATAGTTCAAAGGACTAAGTCACAAAGGTGCATATACACGGCTACCCAAAGATTATGGGTATCAGTTCGAGGTCAAGAGTGTTGGACTCACCCCATCTATGGCACCGTTTTCGTCATTTCATCATCAGCATTCGATCCCTGGCCAGTAGGAATTCAGTTTTCAATCATGGTACAGCCGCTGGACTTTGAACCCAAGCAAGTGGCTCCATAGTCTAGTAGGTCCTAGGCATAGACTAGGCTGTAGGCAGATGTGTTACAGAGTTGGATGTCTCCTTTTGCCAGCACTGTTGCCAATTAATTTGTCAACTTATTATTACCATTCTCAAATCATGCAAGAGGCGGAACCATTTGCTCGCTAGCTGGTAATGGCGAGATGAGGGCACAGCCAAGCTTCTTATTGGGGTCGACAGAGTGGATCATCTTACTCCCCATTTCTTGCATCTTGCTTTGAGCTGTCTGGCACACAGGTGGAAATAAGTTTTGGGCTATATTGTATATGCTACATAGTATACTGAAAGGATTCAGGTGACTATTAGCCAGGTCCAGTCGGGTCTCAGAAAATCTTGAGCCCTTAGGCCCAGGCCAAACTCGAAGACTTGGGGGCCTCACGACCCTCACAGGAAAAATGTCAAAATACTTGAGGGGCAGGAGCCCAGTCCAGAAGGTTCCAGTCCAAGTCAGAGGTCCAATCCAATTAAAGTCAGCAGGGTCCAGTTTCAAAATGTGGTAGGCCCAGGTCAAGAAAAATCCAGAAGTCAAGTTGTCACTTGTTGGGCCTGGTAGGCTGGTACTGAATAGAATAGTCCAGAAGTCAAGTTGTACTGGTTGGGCCTCGTACCAACAGAAAGGTCCAGAAGTCGAAAGTCCAACCTTGCTCCAGCCAAGCAAGGATCTTCCGGAAGGTACCAGTACCGTGGAAAACCGCAGCACACTGCACACAGGCCAAAGCGCCCGGTACCAGTCCTAGGTGAACAACCCAGTCCATGCAACTATATAAGCAGGTACAGTGCCTTGACGAGGCATTCAGAGTTGCATGTTGCGGAAGCACTGTGCTGCTTGTGCAACCATCGTGACCCTGTGTTCTAAGGTGACAACGAGGACGACGTGAAGCAAGCTGGTGGCACCGAGGAAGAAGGCGGCCATAGCTGCTGGGTTGAGGAAGCAGTAGGCAGCCATAGCCGCTGGAGACAGAGGAGGCAGGGGTATTCAGGGATTGATCCAGACTAGAGAGCAAGTAGAACACGAGAGAGAGAGAGAGAGAGAGAGAGAGAGAGAGAGAGAGAGAGAGAGAGAGAGAGAGAGAGAGAGAGAGAGAGAGAGAGAGAGAGAGA